ACTATTATGGAATATAAATTTTTTTGGTATATATGTTTACTGTTTTGCTTTCTCTTACAAATTCTCATGATACTCTTTCTCTCTTGATGTGATTTTATGTACATTTATGTGAACTATTAAAATGTGGATTTCGCTTTTAATTTTTATATGATTGATTCTGTTTTCCATTTTAAATTTCTTATAGTGCTTCAACTACTCCTTTAAAGATAAGTAAGGTATTATTCTCTATTTTTTGAGATTTAGTTTTGAGAAATTAAACTAGTCCATCTAGAATATATGGGCTCAGAAAGTTGTATCTCAATTTTCCATGGGATTATTTTAGTACCATTTATTAAATAAAGTTTTCTTTCTTCATTGCCCTGTGATGATTACTTTATACGTTCCTCACGTGGAATATTCTCTTTGAACCTTCTACTTTGTTTTCCTGCTTGTCCAAATCCTGTTCGTTCTTCAAAATCTGTCTCAGCTACCAAGGCTCCATAAAATCTTAATACCTGATTGCCATGCTCTACCCCTGGCTGAAATCTCTTCTCTTAATTGCCTGTGTTTAGCTCTGTGTGTAGATATTTCTCGTGCTACTTCATTTTTACCTTGAACATTTTAATTGCTACAGTAAGACTAGACACTTCTAGAGAGGGCAGTCAGTCTTTTTTATCATAGCATTTCCTAGGGTATCTATTTTGGTACTATAACCATAATAGACTTTCTGGTAAACATTTGGTGTATGTTTTTTTACATTTATATACAGTTGGACCTATTCTGATTTCTTTGTTCTCTTTTCCTGACTTTATACCAGTTCCACACAGTTTTAATTATTAATGAGTAGGACTGGTCCTTCTCATTTGTTTTTCAAAAAATTTTTATAGGCCTGCATGTTTCTTTTTTCTCGAATGGATATAGAATAACCTTTTCAAGTTCTTAAATTAAAACTAACTTAGATATTTGTTGGAATGATATAATAATGCACTTTTATAATATCGTCTGATCTGGGAACATGGTCACTAGGCCCTTTAATTCAGGTATTCTTTTCTATTTCTAAGATGGTTTTTAAGATTGCTTTGTAGGGAGCCGGCCCCGTGGCTTAGTGGTTGGGTGAGTGTGCTCCGCTGCTGGCGGCCCTGGTTCGGATCCCTGGCGCGCACTGACGCACTGCTTGTCCGACCGTGCTGAGGCGGCGTCCCACATACAGCAACTAGAAGGATGTGCAACTATGACATACAACTATCTACTGGGGCTTTGGGGAAATAAAAAAAGGAGGAGGATTGGCAATAGATGTTAGAGCTGGTCTTCCTCAGCAAAAAGAGGAGGATTGGCATGGATGTTAGCTCAGGGCTGATCTTCCTCACACACACACAAAAAATATTGCTTTGTATATGTCAAGGGGAGCTTAAACAAATTGAGTTCAGTTAGATTTTATCGTATACCCAAATGAAGGAGGAATGCAGTCTAGGTTGCTTAACCAGTTAGATTTACGTACCATCATTTGAAATACTGCAAAGCTGTAAATGTGGTTGACATGCTCTCAAGTCATAACTCTTATGTTTTATGTTTTGCTGGAAGCAAAGAAGTTTTACAAATGTACTTGAAGAACCTCTAACTTTCTGGATTTTAGATGCCTGGATTATCTGATTTATATATTATCTAATATTCTCTACTTATGACTTGGCATTTGATTTCTAAGAGTGAAAACAATTGCAAGTCTTTTATTATTTTTGATTTATTAAGAATTAGACAGGATAAATAGAATTTTTTTCCCATGGTTTTATGCAAGTGGCACTGGTTTTTCTCCTGTGGTTCATGAAAGTGGCCAGCCAAGCCACTTGTTTTGTTTATTTCTGGGTAGCTGCAGTTGGCCTTAGAGAAGGAGGTTTTTCTTTGGCAGAAAAAGCAAAAATGTGTTTATTCATTCCATTTGTAGTAACATTGATTCAAGAGGAGCTTTTGAGGAAAGCCAGAGTGGTTAGGCTTTGAACATAAATAGCTCCCATTTATCTCCTAACTGATAGAGAAAAGTAAAAAATTTAGGGTTAATAACATAAAAATTATAGAGAATATAAAGTTCTGGAGCAGAAGTTGCAAACTGGTGGTTCATCAACCAAATATAGCTCTCAGACTATTTCTTTTGGCCTACTGAGTGTTTGTGAAACTTACTTAATTAGTTGATAATATCTAAAAATTATTTTATATGAATATCCAGCACTGGATCAGCTGCATTTTTTAGCATGGCATGTTAATAGCAGTGGCATCTTTTAGATTAGACATACACCTTTGTTTGCCCTACTTAGCACTTCTAACGTGGCTCCATCCAACCCCATATGCATTTAACTTTGCAACCCCTATTCTAGAGGCTCTTGAATACGGAAAGTAATAGTAGGTCTAAAACTGCTAATGCAGCTGAACCTTGAACTTTGAGTTTATAGGAGATAGGATAGTAGGCGTGAAGATTTTAGGTAGTGAGAGTTAGAGTAGAATGTTGGATGTGTGAGAAAGAGTAGTTGCGGAGGAGTCCAGGGTTTTTACCTGAGCAACTGGAAGGATAGAGGCGCTATCAACTGAGATGAGAGAGACTGCAGGTAGATCAGGTTTGGAGAGGGAAGATGAACAGTTCAGTTCAGGACGTGTTAAGTGTGAGGTATCTATTAAAACATCCTAGTGGAGATATTGAGTAGTGGCTATAGAGTGTGAAGTTGGAGAGAAATGTCTAGACTGGATGAATAAATTTGAGATATATAGATGATACATAAAACCGTCAGATGGAATGAGATCACAAAGGGAGCAGAGGGCTCAGGCCTGAGCCCTGGGGCATATCAGCATTCAGGGATGTGAGAGAAGTTCAGCAAAGGAGATGAGGCAGGAGCATTTGGTGAAGTAGGACCGAAAAGGAAGGGAGTGTGGTGTCCTGAAGGACAAGTGTCTTGACCTGGTTTCACCCCAGAAGCAGAGCCTGAGACAGGGAAGGCAGGGAGTTTTAAGGCAGGTAGTTTATTTGGGGACCTGTTAGTAAGAAACAGAAGTTGGAGAAAGGGGGCAAGTGAAATAGGAAGGAAGGAAAATCAATCCAAGGGTGCATTTGTTGACCCAGTCACTTCTGTGAGCAACTGTGGCTTGATCCTGAGGAAGCCCTCTGAGAAGACATGACGCATATGCCTCTGGGTGGGCAGAAGAGGGTATTTATCTACCAGATCCCATCCCCCATTGGTCAGAGGTTGCCCACAGGGTGTTGGTGTTAACGCCTTCACACTTCTAGATTTGTATATGTCTCAGGATGGCTGACAAGTTCCTGTAGGCATCTCTTACTGCAAAGCCAGTGAACAGAAAGTGAGCCCCAGTAGTGCACCTAAGGGGAGGTGCTTCAGCTGGAGTGAAAATGTGAGGTGGCACACAAGAGGTGTCCCCTACACCCCACCCCCTTGTACCTTCCATTAAGAGCCATTTAGTCCACTCTGCTACAAAGCTTTCAAGGTGATGGCTGGCCACAGTCTCTACATTATACTTATAACAGGAGGGTTAGTGGAATATTGTTCATTATTTCAGTCCTCCAGTACTCGTTCTAGATTTTCATCACCTTCAGCCAGCACTTTCAGATTGAGGCATTTTCCTGGTAGAGTGACCCAGGCCTTCTTCCCCAAGGGATCAGTGCCCATAGTTGCTTTATCCTTGTCTGGCCGTAGTTGCTGCAGTTGCCCATTTACAGTTATCACTGAGCATGGCAGCCCCAGTCTAATCTTCTAGGTTCTCAGTATACTCCCTCCTGTCCGCATTGTGTAGCAGCAGCAGTAAGTCCTCATGGTTGTTAGGGTCAGTTTACAGGACCCCCCTCCCCACCCCCACAATATGGTAACTCCTTCCTCAGCATGCCAGTCCAAAGTAAGGAGTCCAAAATGACCAGATGATAGTTGTTGCCTCAGAATTCTTCCTGTGTCTCCTGGTTTGTTGCCTCAGAATTCTTCCTGTGTCTCCTGGCAGAAACCCCGTCTCTCTTGCCCCAGAATCAGAATTTCTAATCCAGTGGAGCCTAAGGTTGCCAATTCTACTTCCATCTGTTAGTTCCTGGACCCATATTTTTGTTTATGTGTCAGAGATACAGGGCCACATTTCAGTCTTTGGAAGACAGTGTGTGTGTCAGATCACTTATCATCTTGGAAGGCAGTGCCCCATTCCCTCAAGATGTTACCAAGCACTTTTATACATAGAAATTATATGTTTGTTAAATTTAGGACTCTTGGGTTATAGAATAAACAATTAGGGAAAGAAATTTTCATATAAAGGTGACTAGTTATATTAGTGAAATGTTTCTCTTCACTGTGTGAACTAAACTAGTTTGTTATAGTGGCTATAGTTGCTCTTAGTTGCAAGGTTAGAATATACACATCCTGAAGATTTGATTTTACGTAAAATTGTGTGAGGCTTTGAAATAGTAAAACCAGTTCTACAGAGGACTTTAGTTCACTTGAGTTTTGCCAGATGTGCCTCTGGCAAATATTAGGTTCATGAAATATAAAGATCTTTGTACCTGTAGTAAAACTGATTTTTTAATTGATTGAAGTTAAATGAACTTAAACTGTGATAAGAATATAGAAATATGCCTCCTTTGATAATTTGAGGCCACTGTTAGAGGAATAAAGAAGAATTACTAATTTTCTTCCCTTGTTATCTCCTGCTTCATAAGCTGTATTGAGAACTGTATATTTTCCTTGGTACACTTATTAGTCTTTGAGTGTCTTGAGGGTGACAGCTAGGTTATCACCTAATGGTGTTTCCCAGGGCTTAACATAATGCCTTATTCTTAGTAGGTCCTCTATATATAGTTGTTGAGTTAATCCAAGGAGATATAGATAGATATGTGTGTATATGTATACACACACACACGTATAGCATATGCATGTGGTATGTGATAACGATCATGAACTTTATTGTTAAAGTTAGTTTTAATAAAATTAAACTTATTTTAAAGTATAATAATGTTTTAGACTTTTTTCCTTTTTTCTTTCTTTAAACAGATAGAGGGACAAGAACAGAATCACCAGCACTGGCTGAAGGTAAATATGTCTTTGGGGGAAATGATTATTCAAATACAAATGAAAAGTTCTGATTTAAATAAAAAACTACATTGGCTAAACATAATTTAAGGAAAATGTTCTGTACATAATATTGAACTGCTAAAAATGTCTTTAGGAAATATCTTATGTTGTTTAGTTTCTGGCTTAGAAGAGGAAGTAGTGGGGAAAATGTAAATTAATTAGAACTTTTTTTTACAGCTTTCTTTCAATAAGAGAGGTACGTGTTTTTATTTGAAATTTTTTAAGTCATTTGAGCTAACACCAGTATATAGTTGATGAAGAAAGGTCTAAGCCGTAGTTCTAGTAGTTTAAAAATATATATATTTGGAAGCTAGAAGGGAAGATGCTTTTACATACTTTTTAAAATAAGAATTCTACCTGTTACTGGTTTTGGTCTTTTTAAAAAAGTCTTAGAAGTAAAGAACGTGACAACAACAAAAAAGTTAACCATTAAAGGTTCCTGAGTACTTAACCATTTATAATCTTGTAATTGTTTTAATTATAACAAGTTAATAGGTATTTGAAAATGTAATTTTTCTATAGACTTACTTTGTGTTCTTCAAGTGAAAATGATCAACTTAAAATCTCTTTCTGTGGTCTTCCTGTTCATCAACAGAGGTATTTACATTTCAAAACTTGCCTGTCATTTTATTAGAAATGATATGACAGTTGTCATGATGGTCCTTTGGAATTGTAATCACCTCACCTACTCTGTATGTTACAGTTCAGGAGTTCGCAACCATTTTTTGTGCCCTGGACCTCTTTGGTAATCTGGTGAAGCCTGTGAATCCCTTCTCAGAATAATGATTCTAACAATGATTCATGATTTTATGAAGTAAAATACATAGGATTAAAAAGGAAACCAGTTATATTGAAATACAGGAAACAAATATTAAAAATACAAATTTTTGATAGAGTAATATATACGCTTCTCACGTTAGAGAATAAGCCTTAGCGACAATTCTGCTAACTACAGTAATTTTAAATAGTTATGAGTTTGCAATAATTGTAATGTGAAAATACCTGTAACTTCTATTGATGATGAGTTCATAGGTATTTCTAATTCTACTGTGGTTTGTTGCCTGTAATCTTGATTGAAGGAATTGCTAAGTTGCACATAGAGGTTAGTGAAAAGATTCCCATCTAAATTCACAAGTCACTGAATTCCCTTTCTGGACCCCAGATTAAGAACTCCTGTTAGTGAAAAGTCAGCTAGACCTTTCTTTCTCCCTCATATTTAAGTAAGTGTAGTTTTTTATATTCTGTATAACTAATCCTAAAGAAGTAGAGTTACGCATGCATTCCTTAAAAAATATCCTAATGGTGTAGGCTAGAAGTTCTTGAGACACCTCTGAAGAAACATTTTTCCTGGTCACTAATCACAGAAACAACATATTCTGTGGAAAAGGGAGTAGAAGGTAAGTGTTAAGCCTTGGAGAGTGCCTGCCTTCAAAGAACTCCCATTCTCGTTCAAGGAACATGAAATAAACTTGTAAAAAAAAAAAAAAATCAATTTGAGATGCCAAAAGTTTAACAAGAGAACTGTCATAATTAATTGCCATAGGAAGGATACAAATAGTAAGTGCTCTGATGCTTGTGTGATAGAAACACAAAGAAAGGTGAAGACTTGTAAAAAGTCACCAAGTGTTTTGCATTTACTTCAGTAGCATGAACTGTACAATGATAATGTGCCAGCCTAAGCTAGGAAGAGCCTGGAACAGTGTCACTAAATTTGAATGTTTGTCTAGCACCTTGTGGCTGCCCACAAATAAAAGGAATGGCAGATCTATTGAAGTTTGGTTGAAGCAAAAACAACACTAATATTTGTTTTGAAGGGGACATGATAGGGTATCTGACTTTTGTGCTTTTTTTGGTTGTAGTACTTGATTTGTTCTATCAATGTGATCTCGCCGTGATGCCTTTTTTTTTTTTGTGTGTGAGGAAGATTAGCGCTGAGCTAACATCCGATGCCAGTCCTGCTCTTTTTTTGCTGAGGAAGATTGGCCCTGGGCTAACATCCGTGCCCATCTTCCTCTACTTTATATGGGACGCCGCCACAGCATGGCTTGACAAACGGTGCGTTGGTGTGCGCTCATGATCTGAACCCGGGAACCCCGGGCCACCACAGCAGAGCATGTGCACTTAACACACTTGCACGACTGGGTAGGCCCCCTGATGCCATATTTTAAAGATGTTCTCAAAAGCTGCTCTGCCAGGGTCATTGGATCAAGCCCTACTTTTTAAAAACTAATTTACTGCTTTTGCCCAAGTCACCAAGTTTCTTTAGTCCTCAGTTCCTTCTTTTATAAAACTGGAGAATTGAGCTACATGATTTCACGCTGTTTCGTGAACTCTGTATTCTGGGCTCAGATTTTCTGTCCTTTCTGATTCTCTTCACTTCCTCCCTTTCTCTTTCCTTTCTCCCTACTAGCGATTTTAGACATATGGTGAAAATATTGAAAGTAGTTAAGTGATCTGAGCTTTGGTTTGTATAAATATTGCCCTTTCTGATTCTCTTCACTTCCTCCCTTTCTCTTTCCTTTCTCCCTACTAGCGATTTTAGACATATGGTGAAAATATTGAAAGTAGTTAAGTGATCTGAGCTTTGGTTTGTATAAATATTGCCCTTGTATATGCGATGTGAAACTTTAAAAATTATAATTATTAGATAGCATACTTAGTTCAAAGAAGTTTATGGTATATATATGATATATACATCCTGCATTTGGTCTTACTTAATGGTTTCAAAAATCCATTTAAAATTAATTTGCTCTACTATACTGAGAAAATAATAGATTACTTCCTATTTTTTGTAAATCATTTTTTTTGTTTTTGGGTAACTCAGCTTTTACAATGTTATTTTAGTGAAAGGTATCAGGTCTTATCATTTGATTATAATCATGGAGTGTACATTTTAAGTTAACTCATGGACTCTCTATTCTCCAACTGAAGTAAAATAATATTTCTTAAAATGGTATAACAAAAACATATATATTTGGTTGTAGTTACCTCCTCCTCTGCAAGATCAAAATGTGATCAGTGACCTCTGCCGGAGTTTCTAGCATTGGAAGAGATACTGATTTATAAATGTAGAAAAATTGTTTAAGTACATATCTTAAAAATTATAAGATTATCAAGAAGAGAAAATTTATATTTTGTTTTTCTATTCTATTTGCTTATGATGAGCCTGGAGGAGTTATATTTAAGAGAAAGATTTTAATTGAAATTCAAGAACAAGGGAAACATTTGACTCTGCCCTCCTGTAATTTCGCTGTATTAAATTGCTTAAGCGTGCCAAGCTCAACAGAAAGACCTGACAAACGATAGAGAAACATTTAAAGACATTTCTTAGTTAGCATTTTTCTAGTCATCATATTTGTTTTCTTAAAATTTTTTCTGTGAGAATTTTATTCCTAATTTAGAAATTTTAGTTACTAGTATTGAGTTAATTTCTTTCAGGAACACTTGAAATTTTTCTTTACTCTTTTTGGATGAATTATGTATACTTTCATTTATGACTGAGAAGCAATATGGCAAAATGCTTAAGAGAACTGTTGGGAGCCAGATTTACCTGAGTGAGAATTTTTTTACTAGTAGTTGACCTTCGGGCAAGTTACTTAACCTTCTGACCTTCAGGTTGGTTGCTCAGAAGTAAAGTGAAGATTATAGTGCTAACCAACCTTATAAAATAGTTGAGGACTTTCTAAGATAATACTGTATATGTAGTACTTAGCGTGGTATGTGGCACACAGTAAGATTTCATTTATTGACTTTTACTTTCATTTAGTGCTTACAGCATCCAAGGCCCTCTGCAAGGTGCTTTGGATACAAAAGTTGTTATAGTCACACTCAGGGCAAAATGGTTCTATTGCCCTTAGTTCTTTTAGTCTGAAATGTGTAAGAAGGCCCTTAAGATGAGTGTTTCCTAAATACCCCCTTCTAAACTTTATTCTCTTTCAGAAGCTAAATCCTTGTAATTACTAGACAGGAGATAATCTTGTTTGTAATTTTTTGCGTATGTGAGTATATATGTATAGTCTGATGGGTGACTTTTCTTTTGACCTCAGGTAGTTAAAATATTTAATGGGTTGTCAAGTGGCACAGGGATTGTTTGTTTAGTTTGATTCCTGGAGGCCAATGAGAACTGGGACCAAGGAGGAGAAATTAACAAGTGGGTGAATTTCAGCTTAATACAAGTTTTGTGTGATTCTTGATGGCGAGATTCATGTTGGATTAATTGTGCATCATTTGGTCATTGGCTGAAGTTTCTAAAAAAAGTTTCTAAAATTGAATGAAGTCTAACATTTAAGTCATTTGAAAATACAGTGACTTACTCTTTGGGTGTAGTTGTGCAGAGTAAAGTATTTAAGCAGAGGCCAGATGGCTACTTGGCATGGATGTTGTAGGATAAATTCATACTAAGGTTAGATGATGAAGCTTGAGTCTTCCATTTTAGCATGTCTTAGTCGCTTTGGGCTGCTGTAACAAAGTGTCATAAACTAGGTGGCTTATAAACCACAGAAATTTATTTCTCACAGTTTTGGAGGCTGGAAGTCCTGAGATCAGGGTGGCAGCATAGTTGGGTCCTGGTGAGGGCCCACTTCCTAGTTCAGAGACAGCCGTCTTCTTGCTGTGTCCTCACATTGTAGAACGAGTGAGGGAGCTCTCTGGGGTCTCTTTTATAAGGGCACTAATTCCATTCATGAGGGCTGCACCCTCATGACCTAATCACCTCCCAAAGGCCTTAGCTAATCACATTGGGTGTTAGAATTTCAGCATATGAATTTTGAGGGGACAGAAACGTTCGTAACAGCATGGATGGTCCCTCCCTGGTCTAAGATTCTCTTATTCACTGGTGATTGGATATGAAGCCATTCTGCCTGATGTCTTCCACTCCTCATTGTGACTATTAATGTTAAGAAGAGATCCCTGTCCATCAAAAAAAAATGAGGGATACCTCACTTCAGAGAATTTTTTAT